AAACTGAGGTTTTTGCACTGCATTTATCCTCAAGCACATTTGTTGCTGAAATGCTGTCAGTCCTGGCAACTGGGGAAATTACATGAGCTTTCAAGATGTTAGAGGTAGGGGGTAGCCTGGAGGAATCTGGATGAGAGGTACTTTAACAGGAGATGAATCCCCAAGGTCTCCCCAGCTGTCTGTGCTGAGTAAGTCCAACTTCCCCAAGATACAAGAGGTGGGGATGGGAAAACAGCTATTTTCCAGTGGACTAGGCAGAGCATCCCCCAAAGGACTGTGCAGACCAGGAAGAGCTTGTTCATGTGTTTATGTTTGCCAGAATCTGGATATGTGAAGAACAACACCTGTGATGTACCCCACTGATAGAGTAGATATGAAAGAAGAGAGCATTCCTTAAGATATTTCCCTTTAATTTTTGTCTCTCTGGACACATATCACATAGCGGTGATACCTGAGAAGTGGGCATCGAGTGATGATGATCTTCCCAACTCATGGAAGAACTGCTCCCCATGTGGAGGGATGGGAATTGCTGACAGAAGCAGAAGGACAAGTAGAGAATGAAGATTTCAGCTTTGGGAGCACCAATGGCAGTGACAGAGGCCACACTGGCACAGTCATCAGTGTAGAAGAGGCCAGTTTCATGGCTTAGATGGTCCTGGAGAAAAGTGCTGTGAGATTTAACTATCCCAGCAAGTATTTCATCCCTTGGGCTGTTCCACAGTACTCAGCCCTTGCTGGCCAAGCTGCAAGTTAGACGTCATTTTCCAAAGCCTGGTCTTTTATATGGAGATCTGGGCTGTGGTCTGAGCTGTGTGCAGGGCCATAAATCAATTTTGGGCCATGAAACTGGTGGATTAACAGACCTGGGGGTGTCAAATTTGAGAGAGTTTTATGGGGAGCAGAGACGCAAAATGTCTCATTGATAGATGGCTCAAAACACTCTTCTTCATGCCAAGTTTTGTTCTCAGTCACGCTCCAAAAATGTCTGTTCTTTTGAACCTGGTGGATACTGTGCACTTAAAAGACAGAGAAATTAAAGAGGATGAATCTGCAGAGCATTTACAGCTAGTGAATACAAGTACATTGCCTTCCAGTGATATGGCAGAGAGCACCTCTGAAGGTTTTTAGGGTTTTTTTTTTAGCTTATTTCAGCCCAAAAGAAAAGGTTTCTGTTTCAGAAAACAAAGAGAAAGAGAAGAGGATGTTGGTGATACAGACACAAAGAGAGGGCGAATGTGGGAGATGTAGGTCCAAGACCTGAGGGAATTCAAACCCTTCTCTCATCTCTAGAAGCGTGCTCCCATCCCTATGCTTCAGGTGAGCCTGGGGTCAGATGATCTTGGTTTTTCTGATGAAGCTGTTACACCTCAGTTATATGCAAGCAGGCAGGAGGGAAGACTGTATTGGCTGTGCAAAGCTCAGGGGTGTTCAGTCCCTGCTGCACTGAGCTGTTCCCTTGAGCTCCAGGACGTTTTCAGCAGCAAATTTCAAGAGGGTTCATGAGAGAGCAGCCGCCTTCCCAGATTGCATCCCCTTTCAGCTCAAAATTGTTCTATTACTAAACATACATCATTTAAGTGCTGATCAAAGAAACCCCCACGGCAGAGAAACATTATTGATTCCTTGTGCTGTGCCTCACCCTGCTCATGGCCCTCACTAAGCCTACAAAGCCAGCATGCCCAGGGAATGTTACAGCACCGGTGTTTGCAGGGGAAAGGTGTTTATTCATTCCTGGGCATGTAAAACACTTTTCTGCCTGGTGAATCATTACTGTGGGTTGCACATCCTGAGTGAGAAACTTTCTGCCAGGGCAGGAGGACATGGTGGGAGGAGGAAGAGAGGCACGGAACAGAGATTTGCCTTAACTGGTGAGGTCAGGTGGGATTTTTGGAAGCTCAGTGCCAGTTCTGGTTTGTGGTGCCTTTCAGCTGAGCTTGGTTTCAGCTTCACTGAAGGAAAGTGCTGAAGCTTCTCTGCAGAAGTACTCGGCAAGCAGCCTGTGCAGATCAGGAGATGTGGTGACAAGACACTTCCAGTGGCCTTAAAAAAACCAAATATATCTGTCTTGTCTCCAAGGTATGCTAAAGTGAAAGGATGAAAAGCTTTTCTAAGTGGACTGGATTTTGTCTCAGGCCCTGTTTGCAGTGTTCAGAGGACTCAGAGTACAGCTCTTGTGCAAAAACTTATTACCCTTTAATTACTTTTTTTTTGGGGGGGTGCAGCACCAAGAATTCCTTGGAGAATTACCCAGGTTCCAGGCTTCACTTTTGTAGTCATGGTTGGGTTGTCTGTGGCTAAATTGCAAAGATTTGGCATGCTGCATTTTTTGTATTGTAGATGAGATTGTCCATGCACTGATAGTGGTCCAGTGGTGTGCACCTGTGTCTTTAACCCCTCTCAGGTCAGGCAGACACTTTTAGGTTTGACATTTGGAAGGGGTGATTCTCCTTTCCAATTTGCATATTTATTTCAGTATTATCTTTTCTCTTCTGTTAAAAAATTAAGTGATGGTTCCTAGTATTTTCCTGAGGAAGAAGAAAAAGATCCTAGTGAGCAGCAGCCACCTTTGCCCTTAGTTCATTAACTGAAAGGGAGGGTATCACCTAGCAAGTGCAGACACTGGATGTTCTTTCACAGCAATACTGTTTTTTCCTGCTGCCTTAATTCTTTTTTAATGTTTGAGTCAGGAAAAGTTGCCAAAATGTAAATTATGACTAGCATACTTCTCCCTCCCACACAGTACAGATTACTGATAGCGGATACAGCTATCCCAGTTGCCTTGCAGACCTTCTTATTCTGCTCGTTGGTTTAACACACCTCAACACTCTGTGTCCATCATTTTGTCTTCTCTTCCTGGAAAACTACAGACATGAGCATTTTTTTTTTTTTGGTAGCATTTACAATTCAGGGAGAAAACACCAGCTAGAAATCATATGTTGCTTTAAATGTGGCTATGTGAGATTTTTTATAGAAAGAACATGCTCTCTACAGTTGCTGTGTTATTTTCTTGTTTTAAATTGAATCTGTATTACTAAGCCTTGCTCATCATGAGTGTTGTAGTACTTTAGTTGCTCTGTCTCTGCTAGGGCAGCTGTGAGCTAAATATTTTATCAGAACTGGAGAAATTCTCAAAGCCAGGCTTCTGCATGGATGCAAGTTACTCTTCGTGGTTGTGTTCTGTTGCTGTAAATTCTTTTGATGTCTGTAAAGTTTTGCCCCAGCTGGATATGCTATTTTCTCTGTCCCAGAGACCACAAGTAAAGGAGAAAAAGGAGCGAGAGCAGGAAAGAGATAAAGTGAATAAACAAGTTTTGCAATAAAGAGGTATTTTTAGCTGGGTATTTCATATTGTTTCTCCTTGTTCAAACCTCTTCCATGGTTTGAGAGGGTTAGCAATGCAATTTATTCATTTTCTCCAAGGGAGAGGCTGCATTTAATATGTGCTCTCCAGGATACCCTGTTAAAATATTAGGCAATAAAATCCTTGACTGTACAGTAGTTGCAGTTATAATTTCCCCCAGGTAGTGGAAACTTTAATTTATTGTTGTGTAAGTTTTCCCTTTGTACAGATCAGAGTGGTTGTAGCAGTTTAAAAAGGTCTGTTTCTCTCCAAGCCCGTGTGTTTGTTGGTGACCCAGCTCCTCTCCTCGACGAGCATCTCATTTCTGCCATTGCCTCATTCTCACCTCACAGATCACACTCCCACAGAGGAACTCACATTGTTCCCTCCTGTGATGTAAATTTTGTAACTCACTGCATAGAAACGTGAGTGCCAGATACTGATGAAGGTGCTCATGGTGTACAATTAGTAGTGCAGGAACGTCTTTGGTGGGTTCTTATCTGTCTAGAGTCTAAAATGCAAAAAACTCAGCAAGCTGTGTGTTACTAGAGATTATATCCTCAGTCTGTGCGTCAAAAAAAAAGTCTGAAAACATAAGAAAACAATCCCTGGGGAAGGCTGTGAAAGTGGCTTTGCAGAACCTGAATGTGAAGGGTGAGAACAGGAATACTTCCATTCAAGTGGCCCCAAATACCTCCACAATCCCCACCCGTGCACACACAGCCGGTGGCACAGAGCCACTGGGAGGTGGCTGTGATCTGGACCCCTGTCCCAGCTGGTTGTGATGCCCTTTAAAAGCATCCATGTCTTTGCATCCTTGGTGAGGGCAACCAGATCCCTGAGTGCCTGGAGCCAGCCAGGTACCAGGCTGTAGGAGGGGGTGGTGATGTTCACCGTGGGGAGCTGTAAAGCGGTTCTTCCTGGGGATGCTGCCACACTGCTTTCCTCAGCGCTGGCTTTCCTCCTTTCCCTCTTTCCATGGTTCTGGTCTCTGATCTTGTCTAAGCAGGCTCACCCTCTCAGGATATCAGAGTCCTTGTTAAACCAGCATAGACACTTGGGGATAATTCGTTAGGGATGTGGCAACTGGAGGAACTTGTGCCTCACGTTAACCTGTGTGGGCAAAGTTAGGGGGTGGGAAGGGGAAAGGCAGACATTTCCCCTTTGCTTTTTTCTGTGGTTGGAAGGAATGATTTTGCTTGAGATGATTTTTTTTTTTTTTAAATTAAACCTCTGAGAAGTCATATTGCATCTTCCAAACAAACTGCTGAACTCAACTGCTTTTACAAAACGCATGCAAAATTTCCCCCTCAGGATCCTTAGAGGCCCTGGAGTGCCTGCCTTGCAAAACCTGGGGCAGTGAACAGAGTCACTCCAGAGTGATTTCTGTAGGATACCTTTAGACAGCGTGCTTATGTGTATTTTTAAATATAGATATACACATTTAACACATAAAATTCTCTTTTGTTATGTTTCTGCATGCAGCAAGCAGAAGGAAAAAATAACGCAGATCCAAGGTATCCAAAGAGCTGCTGCCAAGCCGTTAAACTCTGAGAAAGAAAAAACAAAGCCCTCTAAGAGGCACAGAGACGAGCAGTTTTTATCATCAGCTTTCTCTTGCCACTGAATACACATGGTGATTTCTCTGTGATCATTTCAGATGCCTCAGGAACAGTACACGCACCGGAGCGCCATGCAGACCTCGGAAGGACCCCAGGTATACAAAGTGGGGATTTATGGCTGGAGGAAGAGATGCCTCTATTTCTTTGTGCTGCTCCTAATGATTTTAATCCTGGTGAACCTTGCTATGACCATCTGGATTCTGAAGGTTATGAACTTCACAATTGTAAGTAGGGGTTACCCTGAAAGGTCTGGGGATAATGAGGGAGGGTGATGGTCTTTTCTCTGAGCATGACTTCAGACACAGCTTCCAGAATGGGGTGTTTAGTAGCCATGGATAATCCTTAATTACAGGGAAGAGCAGATTTACCCAGTGATCCTCTCTTTCTGCTGGAGATGTCTGTGGTATTGCCAAGCTGAGGAATCAGTTCAGCACTGAAAATCACATTCCTCTTACTTGCTATATGTGTATATATACCTGTATATATGTAAACAGTACACCAACCCTACCCTAAATTTCAATTCTAAAGTGTTTTCAAAATATTGAAATTGGTTGTTTTGAACTGGGGTGTGGAAACCAGGATGGGTTTGAGCCTTTCTCTTGGACTTCTCCTGCTTTTCTCCATGACTGGGAAGGCGAGAAACTGGATTTGCTTTTTTGTGGGGGGAAAATTCATGTTGTTTTGTAATGATGTGCTTCTGGAAGCTTCATGGAGAAAAATAAAATTCACAGGGTAGCCCTCTAGGTGTGGTACTTAGGTGGAGCATGTCCTTGTCCTTGTCTTGCTGTGCTCAGTGCACGTCAGTCCTGCCAGCAGCTCTCCCTTGCTGCTTCCTGCTCCTTGGCCAGGGTTAGCCTTCCAGAAGTTCCTACTAAAATCTTGGGCTGCTGTACCAGGAGGTAGATTGCAGTGGGGCAGATGTTGCCTTCCGGGCCCAAAGCACTCTCTGCATCACTTAAAGTCTGTTCAAACTCCTTTTGAGATCTCAAGAGGTGCCTTGACCTTGAATTGTTTTTACAGAGTGAGCTTTACCTCTCCTGCTCACACACACTGAAAGTCAGGACATGATGAACCAGGCACACCCCACTTCCAGGGCTTGTGAGCCTTCAGATATGACCAGCCTTAGTTTTTCAGGAGATGATTTTGGGCAAGGAGCATGAAAATGAAATGATTGGTCCCTTCTTCAAAGCAGGGAATTGCCACCTTGCCCGGATGGGAATATTTTAAGATCATTTGAGTCTTCAGGAGAAACTAAGCTTTCAGCTTTAATCCTGGATTTAATTCATACAAGAACTCTAAGACTGAATTCCCCCAGACAACTTCCAAGGACCTTCCCAGTCAGGCTCTGATATGAGCAGCATGTTTGGAGTCTCACAGCATTTCCTTCTCTTCCTTGGCCTTGTGCAGTCCTGAGCAGCTGTGTCCAACATTATGTCATTAATGGGCCATGAGAAGTTGAATAAACAATCTCTGGTTTACTGTATCCAGCAGATAAAATGCTGTGTCAGGGGAACGTGTAGCATTTATTTTCTGTAACCAGGAAGCTGTCAAGGTGTGCAGAAAATTGCAAAGCATGTGTACTTAGGGAGCAAGCAATTATAAAGCAGTAATACACAAAAAGCTCCTGTGAATGGGCAAAGAGTGACCAAACTGGAGCAATTAATACTTAACCAAACCAGCTATTTAATCTTGAGTAATTGATTTTGATACCCATTTCATGCTGAACTGTGGTCTTTAGATTAATATATTTGAAAAGTAGGTGTTTCTGAGGTGGTGGAAGAGTTGGTCATATGTTCATCATATAGGAATGGTGTGGGTATCAACCCAAGAACAAAATAACAGAATTTCAAGTTATCACTTTTCAGGAATACTTATCTCTTTGTACTAATGTAACTTCAGTATGTCAGTCCTGTGCTTTTTTGCTATTTGTTGGTGGTCAGTCAACTCTTTTCAGGTTGCTTGGGAAGTCAGGTGAACCTGGCTGCTGTGTTCTCCCTCACTGCCCTCTCGTGATGCGTTGCATTTTGCAGGCCATGTGCTGAGGTGCCATCTCCCAGGGGCATGTACAGAGACCTCCCACTTCCAGCAGCTCTCTCCACCCCACTAGGATTTACACTGGCTTTTGAGGGGATGCACTGATCTTCAATTTCTTGTCTGATTCTGTTTTCTTACTTGTACTCTGATTACTGGGGATTATTCCAGGGTAAAGGATATTTGTATTTGGTTTTAGTTAATTCCTGTCTACTGATGTTGGTAGGCGATGGCATTTGGTGATAAAACACAGACAGTCGTGCTGAGTCCTGCAGTGGGAACAGCTTTATGGCTGTAGGCAAGGCCACGCTAGTCAGGGTGCACGTCTCTGACACAGCCAATTGGAAATAAATACAAGAACTGGGCATGTAAAATGTGATCCTTGCCCCAATATGCACCCATTCATCTCCTGATCTCCTGCTGCTCCTGCAGCCTCGCCAGCTGCTTTGGATCCTGCTCTGCAATCCGTCCTGCACCATTCCCTGAGGCTGAGAAAACCACTTTGCTAAGTGAATTTTTAGAGGCAGACTTTTATCTCTAAGTAACAAATGTAGCAGAATTATCAAATGAGCAGATGCAAATATGGAAAAATCTTTAATTTGTTCCTGTTCTGATAAGAGGAGCTGAGAGTCCTTCTGGGACAGGGAAATGATCTGAGTAGTCAGTAAGCAATAGCTGCTGCTTAATAGGTCTGAGTTACCCCAGTGCTTGCAGAGCAAAAAGAAGGGGAAAATTTGTGTTTCTATTCTTCTGGAAAATGTAGTGTTTCCAGTATCCTCCCACCTCTCCTTCCAGAACCTGAGTCTGTTCAACTGCACAGAACAGTCCTGGCACTTACTAGAATTTAATAATGCTCATTATGGCCAATAAGTGCTCACAGTGTTTTAACGAGCACAGCAAACCCACTCAAGAAAACTCGGGGGTGTTTTAAATGCTGGTAGTGGGGAGTAAAGAAGGGGGGAAGAGATGAAGCAAGACAATCTCAGGGAAAAACCCAAACCTTCTCGTTCATGTTGTAGCAGTATCCATCCACTCCACTTCCCGGTCCAGCCCTGACCTTCCTTTCTCTCTCCTCTACATACCCCGCTGGCTTGTGGTTCAGGAGACAACTCCTGTGAAATCAAGCTATAAGCTTCCAATCAGTGGCTTTTAACGAGCTAGACATCACTATTTGTTCTAGGTTTTGCTTTTATCTGAACATTCAAGGCTTAAACAAATTTATGTGTGGCTGTTACCTTTTACACAGGGCTGTCAAGGCAGTGTCACCCTTGCGTGGGGACAGCTGGTCACTCTCCACTTTGTCCTCTGGCACCATTGTTCATTTCTCCTGTAGAATTTGATACTCAATTTGGTTTAAATGCCTTTATCAGGCTAAGGCCATATGAAAAACAGGCCTAGCTGGGACCTCAAATGTCATCTGCCTGTCCCACAGCTGGTTCCCAGACACAGTTCCATTTACCCTGTTCATTTACATCTTGGCTGTGCTGCTCTGGGGCTGTGGAAAGCTCTGGGACTGCTGCTGCCTCTGAACCTTGCTTGGATTCTTAAGCCAAACCGCTGAATGAATCTGGGTTAAAGCCACCAATTTGAGTTGAGAACCAAATGTACCTCAAAGGTGGCCTAACCTAATTGAGGTAGAAACCACCATCCAGCACTCAACTTTATGATGATATATTGGTACAGGGAACTCCATTCAGGTCTTTGACAAGCCTGGTAGTACTGCATGGTTTGCAGGTGTTGGGGTTGGGGAGAATATATTAATGCCTGTGGGCTGTGTGTGGGATTGAGGCACTAAGTTTGAAGGCTGTGGCTGCGTCCTGCTGTCTCACTGGTGTGGTGGAGGGCTCAGCCTCCAGCTGTGTCAACCTCCAGCTGTGCTGGGCTCAACCTCAAGCTCCACAGAGCTCAGCTGAGGTGGGCAAAGCCCCTGCAAGGGTTCTTATGTGCCAACATAATTCTATGCCGTTCCTCTTTATCATGATGTAGCTCTTTAGCAGCAGGATTGCCCATGACTGTGCATGTTTTTGCTGCCCACCGATGATGTGCTGGGGATCTCTGTCTCAGCTATTACTTGTGAGCTTAAAACATTTTTTGAAAGCTTCCTCTTCTATTAGTTTCTGATTATCACAAGAAAAGATGTGCTTACATAAACACAGCAAACCAATACCCTTATTTTAAGCAGTACAAGGCTAGAAAGCTCAGATAATGGGCAATGACAGTGCATTGACCTCTTTCCACAAGGGTAGCACACAATGCCTGGTATTTTAAGTGGTGTTAGGAGTCTGAAGCACTATCCATTAGTACTCCTTTATAGTTTGTTAGGCAGCAGTCAGAGCTCTAAACAGGAGGGATGAGAACTGTGTCCTCTTGTGGCTGTATTTAAATTTCAAACACCCACCTACTTGTCCACCGAGCAAACCACCTCAGAGCCTTTGCTCTCCCTTTGCCCTTCTGCTGTTTCTGTCCATAGCTCGTGTTGGTGCATTTTGGATTGTATTGTTTTGGGACAGAAACTGTTTGCATATGGCATCCTGTAGCCCTATATAGTGGCAGGTTCTACTAGACTGTAAACTGTAATAAATGGAAAAATAATATTTTCCCCCTAATCAGCCTGCAAGGCTTGAAATTCCTGGAGAACTGTCTTCTAAGGATCATATAAAGTGAAGGCTTCAGATTAGTTTTCGTAATGAAAATATTCTGCGACTTGGTATTCAGGAGTCCCTTTGTGAACCAAACTTAACATGATCCTCCAAACTGGGAGAGCACCATCCCTGGGGGCATTTATAAGGCATGTAAATGTGGTACTTATGGACAGGGTTTAGGGTGGACAGCTGGACTCAATGATCTTAGAGGTCTTTACTGACCTAAATGATGCTATAACTCGATGTGCTGCTTCCAGGTCTGTCCAAGTCTGTGCCGACTGCTTGTGCCATCTGTGTGTGTGTGTGTTCAAGGAAATGCAGACTGGAAATGGGCAGGCAATGACCCCCCATTCCACTTTCCTTCGGGTGCAGAGAGGGGAATCTTTCCCCCCTGGCCCAGTCAGGCTGAGACTGGAGAGTCCCAAACCACAGCACTGTGTTCTCCTTCCATAACCACTTGAGGTTTTTTTGAAGGTTTACACAGTTTAGCATGAGGCTGAGCCATATTTTACTATTTTAATTGAACAGGAACAAATGACTGCAATTGTTCA